GGCCGGGGGCGGGACCAGCCGCCGCCGTCTCCGTCTCGGTGTCCCGTCCCCCACAGCGCCCAGCGGCCGCCGCTGGTGAAGCGGAAACTGCCGGGTGTGCCCCACTCGGAGCCTGACGAGGAGCAAGCGAGGCCGCATCTTGCCCGGTCCGGTCCCTTCGATCGGCGCGCAGCGCAGCCCGAGCGCGCCCACCTGAGTCCGCCCGCACCCACCTGAGTCCGTCCGCCGGCGCCATGGCGGAGCAGGAGAGCCTGGAGTTCGGCAAGGCGGACTTCGTGCTGATGGACAGTGTCACCATGCCGGAGTTCATGGCCAACCTCAAGCTCAGGTGAGGGCGGACCGACGGCGCGCAGTGGTTGCGCTTTCCCGAGAGGGGGCGCTCAGGTGGTTGCGTCCGCACTGGGGAGACGGGTAGGGGGCGCGGCGAGCTGGGAACTGAGCTTTCCCGGGACCGGGCGGCTCTGGAGTGCGGCTGGATTGGGGGTTGTTAGGGGGCGCGCCGAGTTTGCGGTTGGGGGTGTCCCTGGAATGCGGGCGAATTAAGGAGGGTTGGCGAAGTCGGGGGCGCACTGAGTTCGAGGACTTTCCCGCGGAGGGGCGCCCCCGGGATGCTTCTCTGTATTGGGCATGGAAGGGGGCGCTGAGCTGCCCTGTCCCAGGTAAGTGATGTGGGCGGGCCAACTTCCAGAGCTCCGCTAGCGAGCTGGGTGACCTAATGGAAATAAAAGCAAAGGAAAAGAAAAACTGCGGGGAGAGTCCTGACAGCCCGAAGGCCCCGCGAACACTGAAGGGTGTTTTCGGAGAGAGGCTAGAGGCTCATCGTGCTTTCGCACTTGTTTCTCTTTCTTCTTCTCCCCTTCCTCCTCCTGGCGCGATTCCATCAAGTCATTCAGGATGCTCTGGAGGGATCCCTGAGCTGTGCGTTCCCGGACACTAGCTATTTTTTTTTATTTTTTTTTAGTTGCTCCCCAAACGTAATTAGACACGTTTCCAGACATCGAAGAGACTGCTACACTTGCCAGTGCCAAGATAAACTGTCTGAATTTGACAAGGCGTTCATGGTTTCAGTTTGGGGTTGTGTTTTTTTTTGTTGTTGTTTTTTTCCCAAGGAGTTATGGATGAAGCCCTTGTGTTACTGACATCCTTGAAAATGTAGTCACAACTCAACGCCCCAATCTGGTCTTTCAAGATGTATTTATGTTACAAAGGCTGTATGTGATTATTTCATTCATGATAGAGACACATAGAAGCAAAGGCTTAAAGTTGTTTTCCGGGTTTCTTAAAGCATTACAGTAAATGGTGTTTCAAAATAGCCGAGATCTGATGTGTGCGTGGTTTTGTTTTTTTTTTAAATTTTTAAACAGGTATTTTTGGCCCCATTTCTAGCAAGGTTTATAGTTGAACATCATCCATTCAGTTTATTAAGTATTATTAACACAATGTAGGTTTGAGTGCTTACTTGACCCCAATTATCAATATTAATTACCTCAGTTAATGTTAATTCAAGGATTTAAGAAATTATTTTAATCATTGACGCTGAAAACTTCAGGAACGTTTTTGCATCCGCTTGGATAGACCTTTTTATTGTCTAGACCTGAGCTCTTCACCTGCCCAACACAAGGAAATTTTTTTTTTAAATTTTATTAGTTTTATTTAATGAACATTTACAGGGATTTTGGGTTTTCATTCCTTCATTGCTGCACCATTATCTCTACCCTCCTCCCCAGTTTGTTCTTCTTCCCCCGCCATCCGAATGTCTGTTTTAATTGTCCAGTTGCCACAGTGCTTGTCAAAGTCAGTGCTGATTAATCTCCTTTGTCAGCAACACAGGGAAATTGATCATTAATTAGTGGTCTCCTGAGTCTTCAAATTTGTAAAATGATGAGGCTGTCCAAGATTTCTTTCAGTGCCCATATTCTGCAATGATCATGGTGGCATAGTCTGCAGGGAGTTGTACTTCTAATCCAGTGATGATACTTCTCTGGTAGTTCGAATCCACCAGTAGCACATTAAAAGACTATAAAATTGCTATTTAACTTACTGTTTTGTCTACCTTAAGTGCCCTTGAGAAAACTTAAGACAGCTAGCAATTGGTATTATGCATTTGCCAGACAGGATACTTTGCAAGGAGAAGTTGGTGTTTCATTGAAAGAAAGCTCCTCTTCCATGTTTGGAAGCCTCACGTTTTATTCAGGGCTGATGCAACTCTTCATGCAAACACAGCCGGTGACCAGTGTGTTTGTTTCTATGATCCTGGAATGGTTTCCTAGGTGGAGCCTTCGTCATTAAAATGGACTAGGAAAAAAGGCCTGGAGATCTTCTTTCCAAAATCAGCCAGTGAAAATGCTATGGATTACAATGCAGTCCTCAGCCAATCCTGAGGATCAAACAAGACCCGGCAGTGTTGTGCATATGCTTTCAATGAGTAAAAAAACCAAACACAAAAACCACAGCTGTTAAGTCAGTTCCAACTCATAGTTTCTCAGAACCATCAGGGTTCCGAGACTGCCTATCTTTCTAGCTTTCTCCCTCAGAGCAGCGGGAACTCCTGGTTTCTAACTGCCCACCTTTCAGCTAGCAGGTAAGGGGATTGTGCACTCTGTCACCACAGCACCAGAGTCAGGGGCCAGTTAAACAGCAGCGACCAACACATTCTTTGCTAGTTACATATATTAACTCATTTAATGCCCAGAATGAATCCAGTGTTGCAGATGAGAAGACTGAGGCCCAGCAAACTTAAGTAATTTATTAAGTTTATATACATACATTGGAAGCAGGAGTGGCATCCACTTCCTAAACAACATGCCTCCAGATACTCTATGACCTTTGATAAATGTCGATAGTTGTAGAAGGACTTCAGGCCTTTTGTTCATAGGGTCGCTATGACTGGTGATTGACTCAAAGGC